CCCGGCACTGCGCAGGCGCATCTCTGACATCCAGTTCCCATTACTTTAGTGGGACCGGTTCAGGATACTGCGGAGCAACACAGAGTTTGGGCGAGGTTGACGTTCTGCCATACTTCCGGTCACGTGGGGCGAACGGAAGCGGTGTTTGTCACGTGGCCCTTTCTGGGCTCGTTTTAACTGGGGAGAATGCAGTTCCTCCTTCCGTTCCTTTCGCGTGTGCGCGAGAGGCAGCTGGAGAGCGGTCAGCGGCCCACGAGGTGCGGGGCTGGGCTGGGGGAGCAGGGACGGACTGGCGGTCTGGGCTGAGGGGATCCTGTGGGTCGGGGAGGTCTGTGCGGGGCGGATTGGAGGGGCGAGGTCTGTGCTGCGGGGAGGGAGTTCTCTGGTGGGTTGCGTGGGTGTGCGTGTAGGGTGGGTATGTGTGGAAGGAGGGGTTTAGGGGAGGCTGGGGGGGCGAAAGCAGGGATGGGCGGTCTGGGTGTTTGGGGATGGGTGTGTGTGGAATAGGGTGACCAGACAGCAAATGTGAAAAATTGGGATGGGGGTGGGGGGTAATAGGAGCCTATATAGAAAAAGCCCCAAAAATCAGGACTGTCCCTATAAAATCAGGACATCTCGGGGGTTGGACTAGATGACCTCCTGAGGTCCCTTCCGACCCTGATATTCTATGGCTCTAGTGTGGGAGGAGGGATTGGGGGGAATCTGTCTGTGTTTGTTGTGTAAGCACTCATTAAGGTGGTTGGGTGCAGAGTTGGCTCGAGTGCCTTGGTGAGGCAGTTGGTGTGTGTCACAGCAACAGCCCTGTGGCCAACTAGCCAGCTCCTGCATGTCTCTGGCAGGCTGCTAATGTACTTTGAGGCCGCTGAGACTGTCTCCCTAGAACCTGAGTGTTGCAGAGCCCAGAGAGTAGTTTCCAGCCCTGGGTGAAGCATAGATGCCCTGGATATGCCTTTGAGCTCTTGGACGTGGAAAGCACTGTTAGCTCTGAGAGCCTCCTACTGGATTCCAAACAAAAACTTAAATGGACTCATTGTTAATTGTAATGGAATTGCCAGAGTGACAAGACTCTCACTATTTGATAGTTTTCTTTCATACGCGGTTGCTGGCGGCAAGAAGTTTCATAAGACTCTCTACAGAGAAGACATTGCCAATTACATCACTATAATGTGCCAGTGTGGTTAAACTTCTATAATTACACCAATGTAACTCCCTGTGTGGGCACTTAGCTCTCAATAATGGTGGCTTTTTTGCCTTTGCTTAATTGCTCTCAAAGTAACCTACAATAAGCTAAAATACATAAATGCATTCATACTGGAATAAGAATGTCCATAAAGTAACCTAACTGGAATAAGTGTGTCCACACAGGGAGTATAGCAGTCTAAATTCACACCCTGTATCATACTGGTATAACTTTCCCATATAGAGAAGCCTTAGTTTCTAGCCCTATTGGTTGCAGAGACAAGCTTAAAAACATGATGCAAGTGCATCCTAATATCTCAGAAACTAAAAGACAAATAAGAGAGAACTGCTGCTAGGAAGTATTGGTACAGTAACAGCTGACCGACTATTTAGTCACCACAGAGAATTTGTAGATTCTAGACTTGGTCTATACTTAAACTTTGCTGGCATAGAAATGTCAGTTGGATGTGTGAGACTTTTTTACACACGTAGCCAACATAGCTGTGCTGGCAACATTCTGGTGTAGACAGTTCTACTGGCAGAAAGCTATTTTGCCAGTATAGTTCATTTTGTTTTGGGAACTGGTATAAGATAACCGGCAAAAGAATTATTGTCAGTATAAGCTAGTTCTACACTAGGGGAGTTTGTCAATATAGAAACTCCTTGTAGATCTTGCTGTTTTCTATAATATTCAAGCTTGCATTAAGAAAATTTCTACTATAGCTCTCATAGGCTTGGTCACATCCCTCACTGATGTACCTTTGCTGATATACTCCTCAGTATAGATGCAGCTAGGTTGATGGATGAGTACTTCTGTCAATCTAGCTAATATTTAGGGAGGCAGTGTTCCTATAGCAACAGAAAAAAACGTCACTGTAGGTTGCATCTACACTATGGGGCTATGTTGGCATAGTCTCTGTAGTGTGGACATACCCATAGGAAAAACAATGCCAGGAGAGGTGTACACCTCTCTCCTGTAGTCCATCTTGATGTGCTTTTAACTTTGTATTAATATGCAGCTGTTCAGAGCTCTTCATACTGGAAATATCTACCCACTGTCTAGTGTCATTGCAGCTTTGTCTACACATAGACTTTCCCTGGTTTAACTGAACATGTTATTTTTAACTGATTCAGAGCTGTTCGACACTACAGAGTCAGGCTGGTTTAACTACATTGCTCAGGGGGCTGTGAAAAATTTCACACCCTGTGCGATGTAGTTAAGCTGACCTAAGCCCTGTGGTAAACACCACTAGGTTGAAAGATGAATTCTTCCATTGAGCTAGCGTCCCTTGAGCAGTGGATTTACTACAGCGACAGACGAACCCCATCTGAAACTGTAGTACATGTCTACACTACAGCAATGCTGCTGCAGCATTTCTAGTGTGGACATATCTTAGTTAACTGGTGCAAGTTGTACGTAGATGAGGTCTGTAGCTCAATGTATTAATTTGGATGGTTGTTTGGCATAAAACAATCTTCTGATCACTTAAAATGGGTTTTTTCCCCCTCAGGGGTTACTTTGAAGTTAAAGAAAAAAATCACAAACTCCAGGCCCTGATGGTTATAGTATCAGCTAAGCAAGTTTAACTTGGGTGGGATAGATTACTGTTTAGCAAACCAGTTTTGGTGTAGCTGTGCAATATTTTTCAGTGACCCACATCATTTTTGTAATGCTACCGCTTAGTGGTATTTTAAAATATGAATAGGGAAAAGTAGAATAGGAAACAAAGTTAAACGTTTGCAAACATCTGTTGTCTCAGATCAGGAGTACCAAGCAATAAGAGTAAGTATTTCAAGAACTATCCTTTGTTCTATTACTTTGAATTAGAAATCTGATTTGGGCAGAAAATCAAAACCAACTTGTTAAATCCCCTGACTACAAAGGAGACCTAAATAGTGTACAGTACTATTGCTTTAAGGATAAATTGTATAGCAAAAATATCTACAAGCCATGGGGAAAATGAATTAATCCGAACCTAATTTGTTGGAAATTAGCTTTGAAACTAACTAGTAAACTGCCCTCAATATTTCACATAAGCACCCAGTATACTTTCCTATAATGAGAGAACAAATATTGAGTGAGAAGATCTTCAAATTCTTAAACAAAAGGATTATAGAAGATCACATGGGTTTATTTAAAAAAGGTACCATACTCCCTCATCACATTAAGTTTATTAATAAATATTTAAATTGCAGTAGCACCTAAAGACCACAGTGAGGTTGGATCCCATTGTGCTAGGCACAAAAAGTTGACAGCAGTACAATTCTGAATAAGACCTGGGGGCATACACCCCAAATAGCCATATTTGCCTTGTTTGCTGGGGACCTTGCTAGCATTGGGAGAGAAAGGAACCCTCAATTCTAACAAATGTTATACAGATAACCAACTTCAGTTTTCATTTTATGGTATGCAAATATAATTTCAGAAATTCTGCTACTTGTGGGGTTCTAAAAGAGAAGAAAGTTGATGTGATGGTTTTATAAATTGGAAAAGTACTTTTTAAAATATAATGTTAAAGTCCTGAGAGATGAGCTACAGGTTTCTTGGTTTCTCTTTGAACGTGTAATTCCACAAGTATTGACAATTACAGTGAAAATGACAGGTTTCAGAATAGCAGCCGTGTTAGTCTGTATCCGCAAAAAGAAGAACAGGAGTACTTGTGGCACCTTAGAGACTAACAAATTTATTAGAGCATAAGCTTTCGTGGACTACAGCCCACTTCTTCGGATGCATAGGAAACCAGGAAGTATGTAATTTTAACTAAACTTAAATTCTAATCTTGACACAACTTTAAAAATGGAGTGAATGTAATTTGCACTTTAAAAATAAAAAATGGGGCAGATGACCTGCTAACATGTTTTATATACACTCTGATTTGAAAGGATAGAGTTTCTAGTGGAAATGAACAGAGGTCATTTCCTATTATGTCCTCCTCATAATGACATCTCCCACCATTTCTGAGACTAATCAAATGTGATTATAGTTGCGCTAACACTTTATTTTGAACAAACTGCTTTGTTTGATTGCAAATTAAATCGCTGATCTCTTATTTGAGACTTGCTTTAAGACACCTAGTTTATTTTACTACAGTTTGCATATGTTCTGTGAAATTGAGCTGGATTTCATTAGGCAATAGAAGACATTTACTATTGGCAAATCACTTTTATTGATTATTTTGAGTTATTTTCAGTCTTTCAAGTGTTCCAGATAGTGATAAATTGGACAGCTAAATAACCTTACTGCTGTTGATATGTCTTCATAAATCATTTTCATCAGCAGCTGGGTGTCCAAATTCTAATGATAAATTGCCCCTTTGTCACTGGGGAGTTTAGTTAGAGAGTTGTCCAGTGGTCCTGACCATGCCCTTTCCATAGTATAGTGACATACTTAAGAGCATTAGTTGTCTTGGGACTCCATTGTAGTGGGATCTTGGTTTGGTAGTCTCAGAGGCAGCATAATCTTGGTAACAGTTCTGACCTTGAATTGAACCTTCAGGGAATGTGCCATTGTGCTTACACGGAAACCTGTGCTCCCAAAGCGAGGTAAATATAACCTTTAACCTTAGTTCATCTTTCATACTTGTCAAACCCAACAGGACAAAAAAAAAGCAATGGCTACTCCTTGGGAATATCATACTCTTGTAAAATCAATAACTCTGCATAGTGGAACATGCTTAAATATATAGACTTACCCACAACACATTCTTTTAATGAGCAACATATTAATGCCTTCTGTTTAACCGCTTTTTGTCTCTTAAAAAATTGAGACATTTTACTGAACTCATCCCAGAACTCGCTTCATGAAAATGGTTTAATATTAAATTGTCACTGGGATCAGTGTTGCTTCACTGATATAATAATCCTTTTGGCCCATTTTCCAAGTGAATGATGAGAATTCCATTTCTGTCAACTGTTCAAAATGTCTGGAACTTTTTTCTTTTAGGTAATGAGGATAGAGTCAGCAGTTAGTATTTGTTTCTGATGGTATTGCAAGTTTCCTGTCTCGACTCTGCTATGCTACTCCTTTGTAACCAGCAAGATGTCACGTGAACTGTTAAAGAAATAAGGCTGTGAGTATATTGTTGGGATTTTTTTCTTACTGTAAATACACAGTGCTTGGAGAGCTTCTGCAAGCTAACAACCAGGAAGCTGTTTTCTGTTAAATCCAGACCCAAGTCACTGTGGTTTTGAACATTTTGATTTTGAAGGGGGCAAAAGAAGCAAGATGGCAGTGAGGAAAACCCTTACTCGTTAGTTCTATTTTTCATGTGACTGAGTGTTCTGCATTAACAAATGCAAATTACTGTAAAATATACACCTACATGTTGGCAGACTGTCCTGAGTGGCTGAGATGCTGGGCAAAGTGCCTAGGGGCATGTGTTTTCATAGCTTGAAGTTAGCCTTCTTCCATGCAGTAATAACTGTATCAAAGATAAGAAGTTGTTTCACTGGCATAATGATGATTTCCTTTTTGCCGTTTACCCAACTGAATGTCATTTCGTTGATGTATATTTCTCAATCTGAGATGCCAGCACATCTGTTAAGTAAACCAAATAACAAGGAGTTTGTAGAATCCAGTCGTCTGTGTGGATTTCTAATTTATTTTTTCTCCTAAACACCACAGATGAGCATTGGCCTCAGATTTTGTTGCTCTGTCCAGAAATCCCTATATTGTGAGATGGGCTTTCAAATGCTGCTTACCTGAAGCCTGCCAGCTCTCACCTGAACTGCTGAGGTAATTTAAATGCTTATCTTTTGCATCTCAGTACTAAGATACTAGAGTATTTGTCTATGCAATAAGTTTCTCAACAAGTAATAAATTAATCAGATAGCAGAATTCACTCTGGTTCTCCTGAACAAAAAGAATAAATCCCAGAATACTCAGATACAAGCTGTTCTCTTTAGAAACCAGAGAGCAAAGATAGCTACACTTCACCTGGCCATTCATCCCCATCCTACACTGGTGGAGTCCACATGGTGACAAGTAAGTATAATTACCACACTTGTGACTAAAAATGTGGAGGTAACTCATTTCTTAAATGGTTCTGAAGCGAACAGGCAGTCTGAACCTTTAATTCTAGTAAAGAGATTTATGTACTAACATGGGACCTGATCTTCAGACTGTGGCTTGCTTTTGCACTTAAAATGAATTGCTGAAAAAAGCATGATTAATTTTGTGGATGCAAAATTAAACTGCCGTTTGAAGGCCAGGTTTAACTTGTAGTACTAGGATGCTTATTTTGTACTTCTAAAGAGATGTCACTATATTAATATTTTCTTTGTGATCAAATGCTTACTTTTAGTCTCATAGCATTAAATGCTCATCATAGACAGGAAGTTGCTTTGTTGGCATAATGATTTCTTTTTGCCATTTACCCAACTGATTGTTTTGATGTATCTGAAATGCCAGCCAAACACTGAATAAACCAAAAAGTGCCTGTGGATCAAATTCATTGTTTCTGATATGAACATTTTATTTAAAATAGTGAGAATTGAGTCAGTTGTGATGTTTATTTCAAATGTTTTTACAAGTCCCATGTACTTTGTGTATAGCCAGCAAAATGTCCTATCAACTGGTAAAGTAATAAAAATGAGTCTGTTGCTTTTTTTTTTATATCAATACCAGAAATCAGAATCCAATAAGAGTCAAATCTTCATCTGGTGAAAATCTGCACAGAATTGGTCCATGATGCTTTTCCATGATGTCCCTGAAACTATGTTGGCTTACACCAACTGAGGATCTGGCTTGGTGGTCAGGGGTTTCATTAGGCCAGCAGCTGGGAAGCTCTTCCTATTTTTATCTAGCCCCTGTCATTGTAGTGATCTTTTTTATTTCTGTTATAGAAAAGATAAATTGGAAACTGGAATGGGTGGCAAAAAATTGTACTAGTTTTGTGCTTTTATATTGCAGAAAATAATTGAAATTCAAGTCTTTTAAAATATATGCATTACACAGTGGCAAAATGACATACTGCAGAAATATAGTTCTTGTCCAGATTATCATGCCACACATACTGCAGGAAGACAAGTTCTCATCTTGAAATTAACTACCTTTCATTAAATCAGCATCTTAGACAACATGATGTTACTGGCATAATGATGATTTCCTTTTGCCGTTTACCCATCTGAATGTATGGTGATGTATATGTTCAAATCTGAGATGCCAGTAAAGGTTTGGATAAGTTCAGTAACTTAGTTTGTCAGCGTGATCAGTTTATACATTTTTATTTCTGCATTTTTTTCAGTGGGAAATACCTTCATTATGTGATTTGCTGAGCTCAGACACATTCAGAAATGCCATTTTCCTGACTTTGTTCTGCTCTTTGCAGCCAACAAGATGTTGGTTGAATTCTCTTAAGGTAAGTGGCGGGGGGGAGTATTGTTTTTGTGATGCCTTTGTATATATCTCTATGCTGAAAAGAATGAAACCTAGCCCAGCTAAGGTAGGTAGAAGTCTAGGTTAAAATATGTGAACCAACACAACAAATGAGTCATGGAGAGTAGTCCTTTAAAAAGTTGTGAGGAAATAACCCTCTGACCATTCTGGGTGAGAACTCAACATTTTGAAAAGCTTAACAATCTTTCAGATTCAGCCCAACTTAAAACTAATTTCAGAAACTTTCATGTGAATATAAAAGGAAAATATAGTTGATTTCAAAGTCAGCCAGACCATTTTGAGTTCCAAATATTTGGGTTACATGTGATCATGTTAATATTTCTTTGAGAAAAGAAAGGTTTAAATAAGGACAAAGGATCTAATTTTGTGGAACTGAACCTCTTAAATTGTATTATGATAGCCTCTTCCCCATATTCATACTTGTCCATGAGACGACTAATAAGCTTAGTTTTAGTCTTGGGTGGCAAACTGTTGCTTTGATGGCCTAATGATGATTATCTTTTGCCGTTTACCCAGCTGATTCTTTCTGGAGAGAAAACATCTGAGTCTGATGTGCCATCTTAATTTTGAGTTAGCTAGATTACATAAACTGTGACTCCAATTTAAGTGTATTTCTTATGCCTTTTCTTTTCAGAACAAGAATTTACATCAACCGTGGTGTTAAATATATGTTGTCTAATGTGCAGTTAACTTGCAGCTACCAAGAAGTCATACAGTTTTCAAGGTATTTTGAATGTTTCAAGAGCTAATTTTTCTGTCATATCTCTGTTTTGTTTTGATATTTTCATATTTTAACTGGATCCTAAAGCGATTATCAATCTGAATTGATATAATGAAAACTGATCAGAACCTTCTCTAGAGCAGGTTCTTTATTGTAATTAAACCACATTGCTGGGGGAGGGGGAAGAGAGAGAATGAATAAATATATTCTTAATATCAGCCTTCAACATAACTCTAAAATACATGGTAACACTGTCAATTTCTGATTTAAAAGCAGTTGTATTCAATCAGCCTTTTAAAGGTAAATCTTTTGCTCATAAAAGATGCTAGATTGACTGCTCTAATGCTTGAGGTTTTTTATCCAGAGGCCAGGCATAATGTGGGCAGTAGCAATATGAGCTTTCCTAATCCCAGCCTGAGTTGACCAGAGGACCACTAGGGGTGAAGAGGGTAATTGTGTTCACACCCATTCAGATCTTGTCCTTTGCTTTGCCTGACAACAAGCATGTAAGATATGATGGTGGTTTTGTAGTGCAGCCCTATCTGCAAGAAACGATCCTGAAACTAACAAATTGTGTGATGCTGACTTAGTCTTGTTATAAAGGCAACGGGAAAATTCAAAAGCAAATTCAAGGTCCTATTACTAATCTGTTATCAAGAAAATCTTCCAATCGCAGGACATTTTTCTTTCCAAAGGCACAATGTTTACTCGGTTATAGCTACTTCCCTTCATAGTGAGGATAGCCTGCTATGTAATCCCCAAAAGACCCAATTTAGACTTATTAAAAAACAAAAAACCTTGCATTAACATGCTGGCAACAACTCCACACTTCTGTATGAATAACCTTTTTTACATCAAATCAAAAGCTCACTAATCTGAGCCAGTTCCTCAACATTACATCTGTTTCCAGTTTCCTCAACAACATTGTGTCCATCTTTGTCACTTTCTTCAATCTTGCAATGTTTCTGGCCACTTGGGCTTCAGCAATGAAAATCCATCTCAGCTGCTTGCTGTAACTATTTCTGCGAAAAATCTTTCACGCAGTATCCTCATACCTACATTTCACTTCTCTTTGGTGCATAATTTGTTTCAATTTTTGTTTCATTATATCTATACAATTCAGTTCTCATTCCTTCTGAGTTTGAAACTGATTCCTTTCACCACATCTTCTCGGGCATGTTGTGGGAGGCAGCCCTGTGAACCAGGGAAAAGATGAGTGTGTTCTGTCTTCCTGCACCAAAGAATCTGCGGGAGTATAGGCATGTACAGTACATACAGGTATGGTCTGACCTGAAAAAGCATAAATTTAATTAACTTTGTGGTCAAATGTGGTAGTGAGTTTGTTTTCGTCTTGATGACTTTTTTCACTAATAGACTAATAATTTGTCATTCTAATTATAAGAGGCAGCACTGGCTAGGGGCACTGGACAGGGAGTCAAGAGACCTGGGTTTTATTCCTGACCTGTATGACAGTAGGCAAATTACTTCACACCTCTGTTCTCCCTCCTCTCCTTTGTCTCTTCTGTTTACAGGGCTGGCTCCAGGCACCAGCAAAGAAAGCAGGTGCCTGGATGGCCAATAGAAAGGGGCAGCAGTCCATCTGTTGTTGGGGTGGCACATCCAGGTCAGTGGTGGCAATTCGGCGATGGTTCCTTCGGCGGCAGCTCAATCGCTCCTCTTCAGTCTTCAGCGGCACTTTGGCAGCGAGACCTTCAACCTTTTTTTCCCCTTTGCCACTTGAGGCGGCAAAAAAGCTGGAGCCAGCCCTGTCTGTTTAGACTAGAGTATGAGCTCTTCAATGCAGGGACTGTCCATATTAGGTGCCATACAAACAATGGGCCCTAATTTCACTTTAAGGCCTCTAGGTGCTACTGGCATACAAATAATAAAATAGCTATCATACCTCTAATTGTGTCTGAATGAAAAATATAGTTGTAAATACTAAATGTTTTTAAACATACACATGTACAGTTTTTATGAAGTACTTGTGACATTCTATGTCGTTGAATTGCAGCAGCAAAAAAGCCCACAGAATGCAGACAAAGTTGGTAAAGTTTAATCACTAGACTCTGAATAAATTGTTCTACAAACTACCTTTTAGTTTATAAGCCATTTGACAGGATTGGTTATTTTTTAAACCATTTTTATTTAAACTTTTGTTTTCCTCTTATTCCCAATATAAGTTTCTCACTACCATTCCCTGGGTACATTTTAATAGTTGTGTGGGGGGGTGAGCATTGTCACCTACTTAGTATTTACAGCAGCATGAGTATGGTGCTTTGCTTTTCTTCTCTGGGTCATCTTATCTTTAGAGGTCACAGCTTTGAGAAGCCACCAGTCTAGTGATATGCTAAGTCTGCGAAACTTAATGTGCAATATCGTTTAATTTCGAGTTGGCTACAAACTTATCCGTAGGAGTAGCAATTTCATAAAACATCAACTTTCATATACATTTTGCAGTAGCAATACTCTAAAACTTATTAAATTTGTTTACATTTTCCCCCAAAAATCCTAACTTTATGATGAAATAGGAACAAGCTCTGCTTTCAGAATGGGGTCTTTATTCTTCACTAGTGGTAACGTGTGTTCCAGGGCCATATGTGGCAATAAACTGTAACAGTTGCTGATGGCACTGCATCAGATAAACATCTCTTTGCTGCAGAGAGTTTTCATCAATGAGGTCAAATGGAAACACTGCATTTGGAGCCACACAAAATACAGAGGCACCTACACAAAGAAGAATTGAATTGAAAATGTTATGTTAATAGATTCCATACGTTCCTGGAAAATCCACTTGGCCAACTGTTCTGCTTCATCTTAGTGATATTTGAAAGGATGACTTATGAAATGAACATTAACCACATCTTATAAAATAATATTTCTACCTCATTCTCCAATTTTCTGTCTCTATTTTTAAAAAAAAATACTCCTGGGGATTTGATATTGGATATGAGATTTACACTTCTGGTTTGAATTTGGTTCAGCTCAATAGCAATCGGTCTTGAAATTCCAAGAGGCAGGTAAGATACTCCATTAAGCTCTTGCACATGTAGGTTCTAACACTCAGATCCTTTAATGAGTTCTACTGCCAGAGGGATCTGCTCATTGCAGGATCAGGACTCGTGACAGGAAATTCCCAGGTGAGAAGGAATTTTTCCTAACCTTATAATATATCAGATCTTGTTTATGTGGTTTAAAAAAAAAAAATCTTGGGATTATCACCCTCTACTGTTATAACTTACTTATTAATATAGAGAAGAAAAATTGATTTAAGTCTAAAATGGTTGGTGCTTATTGCCTTTGAAATGTAATGCTATGCCATAAATTTGTATTAATCAATATTAAGCTCCTGACATATTAATGGTATCTAGATTCTTTGGTAGATCCAGTCTTCTAATAAGGAAATGAGTATGAGGAAAGCTGTAAATGTCCGAGAAGCCAGGTACAGCCAAAATAATTCTTGCTTCTCAGAGTGGTGTTTTGCTCTTTAGCATTCTGTCCCTATCAAGTCAACTTTGCTACTTTACTCTTAGCATGGAAATGGTGCTTTAACTAAGAAAACAGATATTTATATCCAAATTTGAAATGCCTTAATTCAAACTTGATTGCATCTTTGATCTAGTTTAATTGTGTTTATATTGGGTAATTTTTAACACTAAATATAAAGTATCTACACATTTAGACCGAATACTCAACTAACAAATGACCAGTCAGTTAAAACATAATTATTTTTACCATGTTTTAAAGTGAGAGATGATTCAAATAACAAAACAGCAATCAATACATCTTCCTCAAGTACTTTCTTCCTTAAACTCAGTTTAGTGTGTGCTTTAGACAATGAAACCCTAAAAGACAAAAACACCAGGGTCTCAGAAAAGTATATTACACAAAATACATGTGTATGCACTGACTACATAAAAAGCTAACTCTAGTGGCAATCAGTAGCACCACTATAGTTTATTTTCCATACCATACCCAAGTTTTATAGGTTTAAATACACTAGGGGAGGTACTCAAATGATTTCAAGTGAGCAAAGTTACATACTGTTTGTTCTATCACAGCCAAATATGTACACAACTATTTTGGGCATCACTTGTCCCACAACAGTCTGAGAATGAATGTTATACAACTCCCTCATGTTGTATGAAACTAGTAGGGGATTATAATTATTGCATTGCTAAAGCACTAAGGAATTCAGGATACTGCAACAAACAACTCAATTTCTTTATTTTTGTAGATTTGTTTCAGTGCTCATTACTTTAATGGTAAGGTTTGGCTTTTAAATAGCCATTATTTTTCATGCCTGGCAAATGAGCAAATAAGTTTATTCAAATAGAGATTTCTGGAGATATTCCAAGATAAATTCAGGAACTCTGAACATCCTACAACTATAAATACTATGTAAACTACTGTATAGGACCTAGACCTGGGAGAGGGGCAAACTATAGCCCAGGGGCTACAACCGACCCTTCAGATGGTTTTAATCTGGCTCTTGCTGGGGAGCAGGGTCTGGGGTTTACCTGGTTCCACGCGTTTCCTGGAAGCAGCGACATGTCCCACCTCTGGCTCCTACACTTAGGGGCAGCCAGGGGGCTCCGCACGCTGCTCCTGCCCCAAGCGCCACCTGTGCAACTCCCATTGGCCGGGGTTCCTGGCCAATGGGAGCTGCAGGTGCGGCACCTGCAGATGGGGCAGTGTGTGGAGCTGCCTGGCTGTGCCTCCACGTAGGAGCTGGAGGGGGGACATTTTGCTGCTTCTGCAATTTGCTTGAGGTAAGTGCCACTGGAGCCTGCACCTGTGAGCCCCTCCTGCACCCCTGCCCTAATCCCCCTTCTGCCCTCTGAGCCCCTTGGCCCTAGCCCAGAGCACTCTCCTCCACCCCCAACCCCTCATTATCCAGCCCCACCCCAGAGCCCATGCCCCCAGCTGGAGCCCTCACCCAACCCAACCCCCTGCCCCAGTCCAGAGCCCCCTCCCATACCCTGAACTTCTCATTTCTGGCCCCACCTCAGAGCCCTCACCCCCTTCCACATCCCAACCCCCAATTTTGTGAGCATTCATGGCCTGCCGTACAATTTCCATACTCAGATGTGGCCCACTGCCCTAGACTGAAAACTTGAAGGATCTTGTATCCAAAGATCTCCATGTTTTTATTTAATAATTTAAAAAAAAGCCTTAACTCTCAAGTAGGCAAGCACTAGTACCATTTTTACAGATGAAGAATTTAAGCAATTTAATTAGGAAAATTAAAACGTACAGGAGTTTCAGTGCAGATGTTGATAGTTTTGATCCATGAATAGAATCTGTTCTGACTCTGCGACTTGCTAGGTAGTAGCCGTGAATGAGTCTTTCTGCTTCTGAACTGAGTTCTACTTGCAAATTCTTAGCAAATACAATAAGCTAAAAACAGCATAAATTTTAAATATTTAAGGAATACTGTTGAAAACTTACACCCAAAGCTCATTTTGCTATTCATAACATCAGTTGCATAGTATTAATATATCTAGACAATATTTTCCATATTAACACAATTTTTAGAAAGGATTATGACCATTTACACAGCAATATGGCTATGTCTCAGGTGTAGAAACAAGTAATTTGTTGACTAATCTAGTAAATTTAAACAAATATGCTAGAAACTCCCTCAATCATTTTAAATAAATATTTTCTAGTGTACTGAAATAAACATGCACTATACTAATAGCTTCTAATCTTGTCCACACTGCATACTGGAGCTCTACTTTTTTTAAAATTACATTTACCAACACTATTGTTTCAAAAACTAAGCGAACAAATGGAGTTTAATAATTTGGCTCTTAAAAGGAGTATATAAATGACTTCAAGTGTGTACAAAACACATTAATTTTAGTATGAGAAGGGTTCAGAACTCTGAACATAAGAGTTTTGTTACTGTCAATGCTCAAATTTGCATGCTATCCTTATTTTTAATCTATACATGTATTTTAGGACATTAGTTGTGCATGTTTAGTTTGTTAGCCTATAATTATGAAACTCTGGGCCAAATTCAGTTGTGGTGGCAGGGGGTGAGGTCACTGGAAATGAACTTGCTTGTACCAGATCTGAATTTGGATGATGTTTCAGGGTTAAACTTCTAAAACCCAATTTCTATCCCCTTGAATGCAAATAATAGTTAATCAAAAATTGATTTAAAAATAGTTCCCCATATTGTTGGTCACTATCTTGGGATACCTGTTGCAGATTTCGTTGCACTGGACAGTCAGATTACCTCTAGTTTAAATTTTAAGTACTAGCTGTCA